TCCTTGCCGGATTGCTCTCTGCCTCTCTCTCTACCTTCATTTCGCCTCCCTCCACCTCTGATTTCCCTCCTACCTCCAATCAAGTTTGCTACCAACTGCCTCTGACCAACTATGCTACCGCTGCTGCAACTAACTAGGTTTGAGTTTTTTATTTAGAAGTATTACTACATCAATGTATACATATATATTATCTAAAAAAACAAATTTTAAAAATTCAATTGTCCCCAACCTAACTGTGTCCTAAATTTTTAGAAATTTAAGTGTCGCAATCTCCATGTCGTGTCGTATCTATGCTTCTTAGACCTATCCTATTCAAGGTTGCACATTCAAGGCTTCCATTTGGAGAGGGAAAAAGAAAAGGAGTTCGAAGCACACATGTAGGAATATTAATAAATAAAATCTAGAAATTTCATTGTAATCAAACCTAGACCATGAGAATATGTAATGCTAAGATGGACAGCTCTCACGGACACAAGCAAGGGCCAAACATAAGCTATGAGTTATTTGAAACCTCAGGGTACAGCTCAAGCATGTGATAGAGATTCTGAGATGCTCAAAATCACAAGACTAGTGATACTAGTGGGGTTTGGGCATGAAACATTAGATGTATCATGTATGTCATTAAAAGAATGTTCGTTGTATACAAGATGAAAGATAGCTTCTCAATCAAAACTTGATATAAATCAATAATAATTTAACATGAGTAAAATGCTTTTAAATACTTTTTTTTTTTCTGGATTTAGTTTTCTGCTTTATGCATACAATATGCTTGTAGTTGCAATACTCATTAACTTGCTATGCTTCTAAAGTTCCCAACACTTTTCTACAAGTGAAATATGAGATACGAAGTTGAAAGAAATCTTGAAGATGAAACTCAAGTTTAAAATAACTCGGTGTGTTTAAGACTTTTTTGCTTTGTTTTACATTTTTATCACATCATCCAACTTTCATATTTCAAATAAACAACAAATATTTAACATTCAACAAGCCAAATTTAATTACACTCAACATCTTTCCAGAAAATTTACCACGCCTTGATCAAAACTTGAGGAAATTAGAATTACCATTAAGTACAGTACCTTGTAATTATCAACTAGCCGAGTAAGCATCAAAATTGCAGGGCATTTATACTGAAACACCATCTCCCAGAAATCTTCATAAGTGTGTGGTAATGGACCTTGTGTGGCAACAAATTGAGAAATGCTTTTTGAGGAGGAAGTCTGCATATTAAGAGTCATTACTAATGGTCAAATAGACAATGGGGAGGATTTAAATAAGATACTTGCACTGGAATATTATCTAAGTAGAAATATTGATTATCGATACTTACCGAGATAAAGCTTGCATTGATATAACCCCTTGCAGCAGGTCTGTAATCCTTACATGAGTCGAGTACAACTCTAGTCTCATCAACTGAAATTATTAATACGATATTCCAGTTACCAAGTTTGGATTAAACAATTAAGCAAAACTTTTACTGTTTAAATAGAAAATTCAGTATAACAAAAATTTTAGCACAGAATTTTAATGGTATCCTCACACATACATGGTAGTACATCCATGTAACGATTTTTGTTTATGTTGACGTTGTCAAGAGCCACAGAGCACTTGCTCTTCATATCATATGCAGTTATTCTCTTGGCCTGAATCACCAATGACACAACTGTTCATGAGAATTAGAATATAGAGACAATAGTCTAACAACATCCACGATGCATAAAATTGATCAAATCCACTAAGATTATTTATAATTAAACAGTATTTAACAAAACTAGAACCTCATTTAGACGTTTCCCGAGCAAAGTCAACATAATTTTTAAGAACTAAAACTCGCAAGGAAGTAGAACTATAAAAGAAAGTCAAGTACAGTGCGCGAAACTTAGTAACTCACGCAATCAAATCTAAAACTAGAAACCCAATACGAATATTGACTATTTTCCAACTTCTTACAGAGGTAAACTTCAGTAAACAGAAAATAACCATATCTAGAGCAATTTCCCAGTACTTCTCAAATTTTCTCGAGAACCAGCGATTAGGGTATCAAAAATGGAAGCCGAACCTGCAACCGGGCGAACTCCTGGTTGATCACATGAGGCGTCTGGAGCTTCTCTCTGAACACATCAAGAGCTTCGGAACAAAACTTAACCTGATCGGGTGTGAGAGCGAGTGTTGGGGGAGAATCGGGGGAGAAAACGAAAGGGTTAGAGGAGGTGGGTGAAGGGTTACCCGCAGCGGAGG